TTATACATAAACTTTTATTTGAAATGATAACTAAGGATGATATGTTATGTCAAGTTCTTGGTTTAAACTTGGTGGCAACGGTTTTGGTAAAAAAAATTACTAATAAAAATGATAAACTTATTTCTACTTCAACATGGTCATATCAACAACCAAACAGGTACCAAACAAAACTTACGAATATGTTATTTTTTACGCATAACTTTTATTTGTAATGCTAACTATGCCACCAAAAAAATAATTTCGATAAAATATAATAACATAGACCAAAAAACGAGTTCAGGTGTGATTTATATTTGTTTTTATTTCTAAAAAACAAATTAAAAGTTATTTTACAAAAGGTGGAGGAAGTAAATTATTGCAAAACTTTATTTTAGGGTCTAAAAACATAAAACTTCTTTTTGGGGCCGAAATCTTTTATTTTATAAGAAGATTAGGAATGGAAACTGTAAAATTAGGGATGAGCATACGACCCGTGGGATCGGACCGGACCGGACCGGACCGGGAAAAAATCGGGACCGGACCCGGACCGAACTGGATTATCATATTAGTGGGCCGGTTTTCGGGTTTGGTTTTTATCAATAATCGGGTTTCGGGTTTGGACCGGACCGTACCCGAATTAAATGATTTAACCCGGATCGGACCGGAAAAACAAAAGTTATTTTTTTTAATCGACAAATAGTAAGCGAGAATTAACAAAATAAAAAAAAATGTTGTCCGATTGAATTGATTCGTCCTCTCCTATGGATCACATTATAGTGTCAATTTTTTTTTTGTTTCGGCCTCTTCTCTTGATCGCATTATGGTGTCAATTTTTTTTTTCTCGAAAAACCAAAAGTTATTTCCGATACAATTTTTTTAATAAAAATAGTGCAGTTCTTTTTTAAAAGAAAAAATAATGCAATATTTTTTAGTAAAAATAATGTTGAAAAGTGCAATTTTTTTAAAAAAAATAGTGCAGTTTTGTTTTATAAAAATAGTGTAGTTTTTTTTATATAAATAGTGATGTTAAGTGCAGATTTTTTTATGTAAAATAGTGAAAAAAAAATTATTTATAAAAATAGTGTAGTTTTTTAATAACGTTTGTATTTGTTTGCATATACCTCATTTGCACGTGTTCTAATTAGAGTCTCGCAGCATACGTTATATTCATCTTCTTTTATGTATTTTTGTAGTCGAATTGTGCAAACAAAAAATATACGAATGATGAATGTTACGTAATAAGATTATAATTTGAAATAGTATGTTAGAGAATAACATGACAAACAAAACCTGAAATCGTAAACAAAAAACATACGAAACCCAGTTTGGTATCAAGAACAAGATTGGGCCGAAACCGTAAACAACACTACCAAAGTCTAATTCGGTCCAAAACTCAAAACCCGGTTTAGTACCCGGAACCGGACCGGACCGAACCCGGACCCGCTACACCCAAAAACGGTCCGGTTTTCGGGTAAGGTAATTCACGATTTTCGGTCTTCGGACCGGTCCGGTCCGGGTTCGGCCCGTTGCTCATCCCTATGTAAAATAACCTAAAACACACGAACAAACAACTACATAAGACTTTAAAGGTCTTTCTTTTGCCATTAAGTGTAGCAATAGAGAGAACCACAAACAAGAGATAAACATCAACTAGACGTCTTAAATGGTTCATTTGTTTCCTTCTTAGATATATTTTAGAATAATAAATCAACGTCTTTATGGGTTCATCACTTCTCTTTTAATTAGATGTAATTTAAAATGTTAAATCATTGTAATGGTTAAATATTATAAGCGATAATTTCAATTTTTTTATATGAAAATAAGTCAATTTGGAATATAACTTATTGGTAACGGATCATATGTAAGATATTAATGAGTTAAAAAAGTTTAAAATAGACCAAAAAAAAAAAAAAAAAAAAAAAAAAGGCGGCGTTTCAATACGACCCTTTGGAAAGGCATAATGGTTTACGTTACAAATAAGAATAGTAGAGTACCATAAACTAAATGTGCATCATCATAACATATTGATTGTACTGCTAGCTTTTTTTTGTTGATCTTAATTAGGTCGTATAATAAGGGAAAGTGGGCGAACAATATGGTTATTATCTAGTATTGATCGACTTTTTTATCATTGGTAATAAGATTGAAACGTTTAAAGAAACAAATCAGAATTAATCAGAATACCATTTAGCTAGGGTGTGCGCGGTGCGGTTTAGAGTCAAAACCGCAAACCGCATGTGCGGTTTGAGATTTTTGGAAACCGCAAACCGCACCATTAAGGTTCTAAACCGCGTTATGAGGTACGGTGCGGTTTGGTTTGGTGCGGGCGGTTTTGGTGCAGTTTAGTGAATGATTAAAATTATTGTGTATTCAAGTTTTATAAGCATTAGTATGTGACTACGTTAAATGATTTTTTTTATCATATAACGAATAACGATTTGTATATAACTGTGGTAAACGATTGTTTTAATATCCCTAACATCGTTATTAATTTGATATATATTAATGTACTTTTCCCACCAATTTTAATAGCCCATTGTGAAAATGAAAGTTATGTGCCAGCTAAATCCAAAATAGAGTTTGCACTCAATTAAATATATTTTTCCATGATAAATTTAATTTTATGCTTCCAAAGATATTGATTTAATATAATCAATATAGTTTTGATACCTAATTTGTCAAGTATCTTTATAAATAGACAAAAATGGGTTAGAATTTGTTCTAACTGAAACAATGGTTGTATATTATCCCATTGTTTAGTGACCAATCTGCTATGATTTTGCATTTGTTAGAATTTGTTGAACATAACATATATATATATATATATATATATATATAATATATATATATATAATGTAGTGCGGTTTAAACCGCATTTACGTAAGCATAAACCACAAACCGCACCACATATTGCGGTTTACAAAAACTACAAACCACGAACCGCACCGCGAACATTAAAAACCGCATTATGCGGTGCAGTGTGGGTGGTTTATGCGGTTTGTGCGGTTTTGTGCACACCCCTAATATTAGCCTTGAAAAAGTCAATCTCGATTTCCTTACACGGAAATTGAAAGAAAACTTTTCCCTCCTAACTTTCCTTCTAATTGGAAGGATTTTGAGAGAAAGTAACAAAATGTTTAATTTTCCTTTCACTTCTTTCTGACTTGGAAATACAAAATACAATTTTCTTGCCCTTTCTTTTATCTTTTTTCTCTCGTTACTTTCTTTCCCTTCTTTTCTTTTCTTTGCTAAAACTCTGGAACAAGACGTTAGAGAAGGAAATGAAGCCCACAGGGCATAATTGTCCTTGGCGAGTACAAGGGCCGTGGGCCCTTACCTAAAAAAACCTAAATGCTATCTATCTAAGGATATGATCCTTCCTTCGGTAACCAAATGGCATGCCTCTTAATCCACGATTTTGAAGGGAGTTATTGAGGGATTCTTTTGTTTTTCTCACTTTTAATCGATTCATGTAGAGTTCTAACCTTAAGCTCAAGTCGGGCTACTCTACTGTTGCATGAAGATACTTCATGAAGATCAAGTATTGTGTTTGGACGCGTTAGAGATAACATAATCACTGCTAATCAATTGAAATAAAAACCTATAAAATCCATATTAGTCCACACGCTTATCTAATGGCAGGCAATGATTTCGGTTTTATTTACTCTACATGTTGTGTGTGAACTGAAACCCAAGAGTGGTATATTATCTAACGATACTACTTTAGTGTAATGTTAATGTTTGAAAATGTTGTTTTTGGTGCAAATCAAGTTCATATCATCATATTCGATTTTGGACTCGGCATAAACTTTCTAGGGTCTGCTATGCATGATATAGCATGATCACGTCTTTCTTCGGTTGGCTTCAATAGATTTGGTAATTTTAGTAATTAACTTTATAATTTATTAATTTGGTTATAGATTATAACACAAAAAAATATTTATATGAAATTTACCAAACGGTTTTGAAATTATATAAACTATACTTGCATTGTTTATAATACCTTCATAATATTATTAAAATAATAAACACGTTGAAACAATTAAAACAAATCTATGTTGAATGATATAACTTAAAATAAGGTGGAAGTGGTTTGAAGAGGAGGGTCAAAGATGCGTCGCGCAACACACACTCGGTCGTTTTTAAGTCTGAAGTCTTTAAAAAAAATACATTTACGAATGGCCAAGCGGTGCACGTGTTCTACGCGGCACTACCAGAAGTGGTTAGAAGTGTCAAGTGGTTATTTTATAAAACAAACAAACAACCCCTTGGTGTTTGCATCGGCTTACTCTTTGCATGTCATGTACCATTAAAGGTGCATATATTTCTTATATGGGAGGTCATAGTGAAAGCAACTATTATGTTCCACCCACCCTCTCGGATAGAGGCATGGGTCATCTATATATGCGGACCCTTTACCACATTAACATGGGGTGATGGGATATGTTGATGTTTTTAATGCCATCAAACATTTTGGGAATTTATATTTTCACGAGTACCTATGAGGATTTGGGAATGCTCAAATATGAGTCACAAGGTGCAAAGTGCACATTTGTATACACTAATTTGATAGCGGTCACAACGAATGATGAGTGCCTCATCTTGAAGGGTCGCCGCTACTAAGACTTTGGTGCAAGTACTAAGGCCAATTGTCATTCTGCCAATTTTTTGTCAAACGCCACACAATTGTCATTTGTTATGTTTATTCATTTTTCATCCTTCGATTCTATAAGGAAAAAAAAAAAACAAACTTCTAGTTTGAGGCGCTAACTTTTAGCTTATAAGATACGATAAGCTACTTTTATAGTTTTACCAAACGCTAAATTACAATAAGCTAGCTTATAAGGTAGCTAATTTTTGCCAATCTTAGTCATCGACTTGTTTGCACTAGAGTTAAGGTTTGTTTTGATTATCCTATAGACAATGTCTAACACCATAACACGATCCGTGATTTTCGGCATTTGATCAATAGCTAAACCACATATAAAACTCAAATTTTATATATGTAGAGCTTTTATAACGGATGGAATACGCATGCACCAAAATAAGCTTTTTGGTCATGTAGAAGCAAATTCCAATTTCCAATAGCCTCTTCTAACAAAAATTTGGTCAAACTTTATAAAGTCAAAACTAGTTTAGTGACCTATTGAACACAACCTAAAACAGTTTACCTGTATCAAGTTTTGTGTGTTAATACAGCAAGGTAAAACCCCGGCTCATCAATGAACTCCAGCATCATAAACGAGTGATGAGATGCAACACTTTCTAATGTCACTTTATCAGGCAAATCCGACACCACAACATCAGGGTACTCCACTTTCTGTTGTTTAAGCATCTCTCTCCCTTTCGGATGACTAATCACAATTCTTGCACCTTCAAAAACATAGAAACACTAATAAATTTCATGAAAAAAATAGTATAATTTTACTAAAATATGAAACATACCTGGTGAGCAAATCTTGGATAGTGCTTCAAAGATTTGATTGAGTTCAAATGGCAAAGCAGGAAGAAAGTAGAGGAACACAACATCAAAAGGAGCCCATTTTTCAGGGACAAAAATCAGTTCTCCTTGCCAACATTTAACTTTGTCATATTTTTCTTTAATGCAGGCTAATACAAATAGAGAGTCATGAACAACAAGCAACTGTTTGCAAGAATGTGTATCAATCACCTGATCAACAAACCCTTCTGATCCTGTTGAAATTAGAACCTTTGAATCCTCAGAAATTTTCCCAGAAGATATGATTCGGTCAGTGTTTTGTTTGTAAACTTGGTTGGAAGATATATCATCAGCATCAAGAAATGACCAATCTTTCTCCACGAAATCTTCAAAGTTGATCACAGGGATTGATCCTTCAGTTGGAGTTACAGCAGGAATGGAGGATTTGGGTGAAGTGGATTGGATTGAAAGGGGAGAAAATAGGGGTGAAGGTGAGAAGGGTTTATAGTTAGGCCAGGATTGAAACGAAGGTGTAGGATTATGGTGAAGAGATGGGAGGCATGAGAGGGAAGAAGATGGTAAACAGATCGACTTCATGAGTGTACTGTCAATTTGTCAGAAGTCAGAACAACCAACATCAGTTCATAAGAGCAAAATACAACAAATTCGTAAGGATATGTTTGGTTATAGGTTTGATGAAATTAGAATTTGGGCAAAATGATATCAAAAAGTGAGTTATGGAAACCAGCGGAATTGGAGCACACTTAATTATAAAGTTGAACTTTTTTTGCTCAGACTACGATTCCATCCATGTAATTGTAGCCCTAAATGAGCTTCAACCGAGTCCCGACCTCCAATTAAGTGCTCTCAGTCATCCACTCATCCATGGAATTGTAACCCTAAATGAGCTTTTAGCTTAAAATATAAGATAGAAAAATCACTCCATTTCATCACAACGCCCTAGCGTTCAAAACTTGTATTGTTCACAACCCATAGAATCAGCTGAAATGTGCTAAGAATTTCTAACAAAAGCGAAATTCTAAACGCATTCATCAGCACAAGTTATAACTAATCATTCAAAATTACAAACTTTAAACTAAACTCGAACCTCAACACTAAGAAAAGATACTAATACTCAAGAACAAAAGGAAAGCGGAGAGAAAGCGATAGAGAAGAACCTGTGAGCCGAGAAGGCGTTTACCACCGATGCGCCACCTTCAAACGGAAGCAAGCAGTCGCCGTCGTCTGAGCAGGAAGTGGGGATATTATCTTCTAACCCGTTAGAATGTCAAAGATTGAAAATTAAGATTAGGGAAAATGACTTATATGGGTAACTATGTTTCAAAAACGTTCAAAAAATACCATTTAAGTTTGGTGTGTCCAAAAAATATCATCCAAGTAAAGCATTTGTATAAAAAACACCAACGAAGTACATTCTTTGTTCAAATTGGACCTTTGGTAACCGGAAATTACCGGTAAAAAATAAGTAAAGGAAAAAAAACAATAGGAAATGACTCAAAGAGGTAACTATGTTTCAAAATCGTTCAAAAAACACCATCCAAGTTTGGTATGTTCAAAAAGCACCATCCAAGTAAACTTTTTGTACAAAAAACACCAACAAACTATATGTTTTGTTCAAATATTACTCACCGGTAATTGGTTCTTACAGGTTAAATGATAACTTGACCTAACTATTATAACATGGCATAATAATGATTGACAAAACAATAAATGATATATTCCTCCTTTAAAAACCGATTTAGGGTTTCTTCATGAACGAATGACTTCTTCTTCTCCTATGATTGCTCTTCTTCTTCTAAAGTGATGATCTCGAACTCAAGTCCAAAACCCTAACTCTTAACTTAAGGCAAAAAGGGCTCCTTTACCCCTGCCTCAATGGGCCTCCCTCCCCCTAAGGCCCAAATCCATAAAAAGCCCAAAAAGGCATCCAAGCCCAACTACAAGGCATCTAAGGCCTAATATGGCCCAAGAACCCCCAACATGGCCTTAAGCCCAAAAAATGACCTGCTACAATCAGGTGGGCCCGATGCCTAACTTAAACAAGTCCATTCATACGCCCAACATATGTTGAAGCCTCTGCGATCTGGATTTTTTGCAAGTACGCCCATCGTACTCGGCTAGGCTCAAGAACCGCCAATCTTCCGAAGGCCATAACCCTCGGTATGGTTGTCTGGTGCCTAAATTAGCTCTCGTAGATATAAAGAATGACGAAATCACACTTAGAATGAAGAAGTTATGGCCTTCGGAAGATTGGCGGTTCTTGACCCTAGCCGAGTACGTTGGGTGTACGCTAGGAGTACGCCGGGCGTACTGGCTCGACATCTGGATATGATGGGACTATGCACAGACTTGTTTAAGTTAGGCCTCGGGCCCACCTGATTGTAGCAGGTCATTTTTTGGGCTTAAGGCCATGTTGGGGGTTCTTGGGCCATATTAGGCCTTAGATGCCTTGTAGTTGGGCTTGGATGCCTTTTTGGGCTTTTTATGGATTTGGGCCTTAGGGGGAGGGAGGCCCATTGAGGCAGGGGTAAAGGAGCCCTTTTTGCCTTAAGTTAAGAATTACTGGTGGGTAATATTTGAACAAAACATATAGTTTGTTGGTGTTTTTTGTACAAAAAGTTTACTTGGATGGTGTTTTTTGAACATACCAAACTTGGATGGTGTTTTTTGAACGATTTTGAAACATAGTTACCTCTTTGAGTCATTTTCCTATTGTTTTTTTTCCTTTACTTATTTTTTACCGGTAATTTCCAGTTACCAAATGTCAAATTTGAACAAAGAATGTACTTCGTTGGTGTTTTTTGTACAAATGTTTTACTTGGATGGTGTTTTTTGGACACACCAAACTTGAATGGTATTTTTTGAACGATTTTGAAACATAGTTACCCATATAAGTCATTTTCCCTTAAGATTATAAATGAACTAAGAAAATTACAGTTTGGTCCAGTAAATTTTTAATACATACACTTTTGATCCATTTCGTCAAAAACTTTGAAAATTATGAACTTTTAATTTCCTTTTGTCCTGAAGGTACATACCACTTCTAAGTTCTGACTTCTAATTTAAGTCCTACAAAAAGAATTTTTGCTTTCTATTTTTGTTCTTATTTATTGTCAATTATATATGTGTTTCTTTAGAATACTAGTAAGATTAGTTTTGATAAATGTTTATCTATTTATTTCTTGAAATTGACACAACTTCTAAATGTGGTGATAGGAGGGCGGCTAGTTGTGGTGGTATCGTCACCTTCCCGTTTGATCAACCATTTGCATTTAGTACAATATGTGCCCAACTTTACCATTCCCATAAACATTAAAAAAATATAATCACAAGTATAAATTCGGTAAGCCATACATTTGATTTAAAATAAACCACATTTCTACATATTATAATTCATGATATTGTAGCAAAAATAACTTACTAATAAAATATGAATTGACACGTTTATTTTGACAGGGTAATGAAATCTAATTGCAAACAGTGCGCGAGCATCGAAGTACACACTAGCACTACCACAATAGTCGGCATCACCACTACCTCCACCATCCCTCCCAAATACCCACCACTACCATATTGAATTGTGTAGAAGAATGTGTACACGAGATATGAACTTGGTCATTCCTACTTAAAGAAGTTCAAATTCTCTTATTTTATTTTGTTGTTATATGCTGCTATATTGGTAGTTGGATCACTGATAAGAGGAGATCAACATATTTTGCATGATCATAATCAGAGATATAGGCTGTGTGGCGTGTCTCAGCTAAGCTAACTGAAAAACTGACTTATTTGTTGAGCTTTTTTAAAATTACCATGTTTGGTAAGCCAAAAAATACTAGCTTATAAGCTAGCTTTTTTAAAAAGCTATTTTGAGTAGCTTTTTTAAAATTTTCCGAATATATCTTTAATTAATTATAAAAATAAATATTCTTCTAAATATTTTTATGTTATTTTATATCTTTCAGCTAGCTTATTAGCTAGTTTTCACTAAACTTTATTTTTGGTCAGCTAGCTTTTCAACCACTCTGTCAAACATAATCATGGTAGAGGAGGTCGTCTAAAACTTTCTCTAAAAAATACATCAAGAAAGTGTAGAGACTTCTGAAGGATAAAAATGTTAGAATTCATGACAAGGGATCGGGTGGTTGTGGATAAATCTGATTCGGATCCCAATGTTGGATTCACCACAGTGACAAAGATCTAACTAAAATAACATCCATAGACGTTTATATTCTCACTTCAGCTGTGGAACTAAAATCTTTTAAGTATCCATAATGCTCTTCTTCTGATCTGTTGTGCAAATAGTATGTCATCAAAGAAACCAACACAAACTTGAAAAAAGAAAAAAAAAATAATCTTGATTATCTGATATTTAGTTTGTAGAAAACCCGAAGAAGATGATGATTTGTCTATCATTGCTTGCTATAGAAAAACAATACAAAAGCCATCAAACTGTGACACTTATCAAACTATCTCTACACCATAACAAGATAACAAGTAAGAAAAAAAAAACCAATCAAAACAAAAACAAAAAAGAAAAGCTGAATTTGTTTCACAAGATTATTGCATGCCAAATATAAAAATGGATCTCAGGTGGTAGTAGTAGTAGTAGTAACTTCTCACCAAAATCTTCTCAAAACTTTAAAGTATTTTCAGAAGAAGGAAAACTTAATCCCGTTGCTTGCTGCAAATAAGTTATATTCTTCCACTTCCTTCTCTCCCGAACAAACATTCACATTCACATCAATCTCTTCTCTCGCTCCAAACCCATTCGACACATCCACGGGCCCACCAAAATGGAAAAGTGAAAACCCCGTATTACCCTTCTCCATTCTCTCCATATTCCCATTTTGCCCTCCGGCACCCGGTGAGATCCCTTTGTGTGTCTTCTCGGAGTTCTCGTTTTGCATAACGGGCACGACCTTGGTGTTGTGGTCTTTGATTCCGTTGGTCGGTGGAATAGGTTGGTAGATTGGAATCTGACCGGGGTTAAGTAGCGGTGGAGTTAACGGTTGGATTCCGCCATACGGAAGGAATCGTGAATTCCCATTCAAATTATACCCGAATGGTCTGGTGAAGAGATAGTGGTTTGGATGCGGTAATGGCATTGCGGTTGTCCATGGAACCGGGGTTTGGTGGTAATACCCCATGGAAGGAGCTTGAAACACCGGAAAGTGTAGGCTTGGAGCTTGTAAAGGCGGCGGAATCACATTCCCTTGTTGGTGAGAGGTTGTAACATCGTTTCTCTTTCCGGTTTCGCAACTTTCTGATGCTTTTGACGGCAATTCCTCCGAGATTATGGTTTCTTTGATTACTTCGGATTGATGACTCGCGTATTCCGAATCCGATGTCGATGAGGATTCCGGATTCCGGGGGTTCGAGGAAAATGAAGTGTTTCCGTCTCCTTCGCTTAGACACGACGAACAGCTATCGGAATTGGAATTGCTGATTCCGCTCGTTGACAGATCCGTCACCCCACTTACCGAATCAGCCTCGTTCTCCACTATTTCTTTGGCTTCGGCTTCGGTTTTTGATTCCTTGGAATCGTTATCCTCAATGTTAGTTTTTAATTCCTTGGAATCATCTGATGAAGAATTAACAACCTTGACGGATTCGCTTACGGAAACAGTAACATCATCCGAATCAGGATTGCTTCTGGGCTCCCATACTTTCTTTGTATATGGCGAACCATTGATTCCGTTGGCGATTTTACTTTTAGGTCTTCCGTATTCCATTTGATTATTGTACTTGTTTCCACGGAAATACGGCTTCGAGACATCGGAATCGGATTCCGGCTTTCCGACTTTGGGTCTATAATCATTGTGTTGGTAACAATTACAAATCCGATTATGACAACAATTGAATCTCTCGGTGTACCTCGATCCATTCAACCTTCTTACAGGCTTATTTACTCCACCATTGAAATTATCACTATGAAACCGTTGACCGGGTTTGACCATGGGCCCACTTTCAAACCGCCTTCTCTCGGACCACTTTGACGATTGATCAATTTGATAATCTTTCCAAGGTTTCAATCTCCTTCGTGGGTGTTTGGAATCACTCCCACACATTCCATTCCCTTCTTTCCCATAGCTGAATTCAGAATTGGAATTCAAATTTTCATTGTTGTCATAATCTAATATTTGCTCCTCGGGTGTATAATCTTCGGATGCGGGCATTGCCAACTGAGTATCTTCTTCTTGTTCATGCTCATGTTCATGTTCTTCGCTGACATCATCGTTGACACTTGTCAATTCCTTATTCTCATCAGAAACAGGAGTTTGACCAGGTTGACTTTGACTTTGACTTTGACAACATTTTTTCTCTTTTTCTTTTTCTTTACTTCTGAGTCTCTCTTTCCTCCGAAGTTTTTTTTCTTTTTCTTTCACTCGTCTTCGCTCCCTTCGTTCTTCCTCATCACGCTTTTCCTTCTCTTCTTCTTCAAGGAGTTTAAACTGAGAAAAAATAGAGTTAGAAAAAAATAGGGCAAGTTGCAGGAAATAGCAACCTACTTTACTCTTTTTACCAATATATGCATTATAGATAAAAAAATATATATATTGTTACATTGGAAGTTATATCGAAATTAAAAATAATAATCAAAAGTCATTATTTTTTTATTATATTACCTGTTTTTCCAAAGTGATGATGTCTTTGCATGCCACCATTACACGTTCTTCCAACAATTTAAGTGCAAGTGATACAAACATGCTATGTGCATTTTGACGTGCAGTACCTTCTCTAAAAGCCTTTTCAACCTATAAAAAAATAATCCAAAAGATTAAATCATATTAAAAAAATATAAGAAAATATAATTTTGATTTTACCTGTTCTTTAAAAATAACTGTTGCAGCATCTAAAAGAAACTCCCGAGCAAGCTCTGGACTCTTCGCATGTTTTTGGGGACGTGAGCATTCACCATCTAGCTCATTTCCATCCTTGTCCATGGAATCATCATCCTGAAATTTTATTTAAAAAAAATTATGTAAGCAAAAAAGAGTAGCTCAAATGCAAGATATAACAATGTACTTTCAATTATTTGTGTAAGTTGCTATTAAAAACCTCTTCTTCCTCAGCTTCTTCTGCATGTTCAAAGAACCTTCTAATGCTTTCTCCTCTTGTTATTGTAACAAAGCCATCACCAACAACAAGTCTTCCATGGACACAATGTTGACCTTTCAAAGCATGGGCTTTGACCGAAACTTCATTGCATCGTCCATCTGTTCTCCATGCTCTTAGAGTGATATAGCATGCATTTAAACCAGTTAAATCCAGACCATTCACTTTCACCCTTGAATTTGAGCCAACATTTTCAAACTCTAAAATGTCCGATTTGCCCTCGCCAGTTCCCACGGCCCACTCGTAATGCTCGTGTATTCCTGTAGAGTCCGCGTAGTTTTGACGCCAATCGGCTTGGATTGTGTCAAGAGTTACCTGCAAGAAGAATTTACATTGTCTCATTGAGTTAAAAGTTTTATTCCTCACCTACTTTGTCAGCAGGAAAAAATAAGTTGTACTGTGTTTGGTATGCATTGGACTGGAACTCAGACAAATGTCAATAGGACAAAAATACCACTTTTTGTCCCATCCAAAAAGGTAGGACAGGGACATGACCTACTTTGTTATACAGGACATGACAGAACAGGTTGTACTGCTTTTATTGACATGACATAACATGTTGTACTGCTTTTATTGACATGACAGAACA